GCTTAGATTCCATTTTAAATTTTTTTTTCATCAGCCCAGTCATGTTGGACAGCCTGAAAAACTTCTTGTGAAAAGGGGGGGGGACTGCTTATTCCAAGCACAGTCACAGTGATCCCTGATTTGTCCTTTGTGATTTTCAGAGGCAGAATGAAATAAACAAATATAAATATATAAATAAAACTTTTTAATAACTAGGTCGCACATCGCAAGAACAGAATGAAAAAAATGGGATTGTCAGTATTATTGACAGTATGAGCTGTAGAGTCTGAAGCTGGGCATTTTGCACACCCTGTAAAGCAACAGGTTCCTCTTTCAGAACTGAAAAATGATAATAAAAAAGAAACTAGAAGATATTGCACATTTTTCTTACCTTTCACTGCAAAAATGTGTCAGGTTTCCTACAGGCAGGGGTGTATGTGAGATAAACACATGTGCCATGTGCCCCCTTTCCCCTCTGCCCTGACAGTCGTGGTCCAAATGCAGCTGAGAACATGAGTGACAGCCAAATTGGCCCCCAAACCCATTTCCCCTTCGCTCCCTATTCTTTCATGGCCATGAACAGGTGGTTTTCACACCTAGCAAATATTTCCCTTCCTTGAGTGTTAACAGGGGAAATCAAACCTTTCTCTTTGAGCCTGGAATTTTGATGATGGTGGCAGCAGGGGTGGGAGGGTGTCAGGCTGCCTCGCTTTGGAGGAGTGGGTGTGTGACATCTTTCAACACACACATCCATCATTTCTTAGTTGAGAGGGCGGCCTATAAAACAAGTCGTGGTGCCTGTTATTATTCAGTCAATTCAAAGGTGTCTTGTTCTTTTTTTAAAAGGCCCTTAACAATCAGGGATGTGTCGCCTCATCCATCATCTTGCCAAGGTATCTGCCTTGGTGTGAAGAGGGGATCCTGAGTGATGTGAATGAACAAGGGCTAACAAACTGAAGCTGAACTTTAAAGAGAGAGAGAGAGAGAGAGAGAGAGAGTGGAAGGAAGGAAGGAAGCAAGGGAAAAAGAAAAAGAAGGAGAGAAGAGAAATAAAAGAAAATGAAGGAAAGAAAGCAATAAGAAAAAGAAAGAAAGATGAAGGAAGAGAAAGAGAAAAAGGAAGGAAGACAGGAACCCAGTTTTTCTAAAATGGAGTTGTGGACCTGGAAGGAAGGAAGGAAGCAAGGGAAAAAGAAAAAGAAGGAAGGGAGAGAAATAAAAGAAAATGAAGGAAAGAAAGCAATAAGAAAAAGAAAGAAAGATGAAGGAAGAGAAAGAGAAAAAGGAAGGAAGACAGGAACCCAGTTTTTCTAAAATGGAAAACTGTTGTGGACCCTCGAAGCTGCCAAAGGCTGCCTGGCCGCCCCACACCACCCACACCCCACACCCTTTGCCCACCACCTGTTTGAAACTCTGGTGCCTAATAAACAAACATACCCAAAGGGGGGGGGGGGGAACGATGCCGCTGGCGGCTTACTCACCGTGAACACCGCCCAGGAGAGCGCAGAGTGGCCCCCGCCGTGGAGCAGGAGCAAGACGGGGCCCTCGGAGCCACTCTTGTAAATTCGAAAAGTGTATGAACAGTTAAGGATTCTGCAACATTCTCCGACAGAAACCGAGCCACTCAGGGACCGACACAGCCCTTTCCGGGTTCCCTTTGTCTCCAACGTGACCGAACCACAAACCAAATCTTCTCCTCTTTGGGTAATAAATACTTTAGGGAAATAGTTTAGAAGAGCCGCCTTTCCTCCAGGTCAAACAAGATATAACTTATGGCACGGATCTTTTCTCTTCCAGCAACCCCCACCACCACACTGATCTGCTGGAACCCGTGTCTTGGGGGGAGAAGGGCAGAGATTCAGCCAAACTAGAGATTTTAGGGTTACCATTGGACCCCCGTATCCATGGGGGATCATTGCCTAGCCACCCCTTGCGCACGGATGCTGGAAAACATGGATTATAGTGAATGCTATTTTAATAGCATAAATGGCACGAATGGCAGAAAGTGAGAAGGAATTAAAGAACCTCTTAACAAGGGTGAAAGAGGAGAATGCCAAAAATGGTCTGAAGCTCAACATCCAAAAAACTAAGATCATGGCCACTGGTCCCGTCACCTCCTGGCAAATAGAAGGGGAAGATATGGAGGTAGTGACAGATTTTACTTTATTGGGCTCCATGATCACTGCAGATGGTGACAGCAGCCACGAAATTAAAAGACGCCTGCTTCTTGCGAGGAAAGCGATGAAAAACCCCAACAGCGTCTTAAAGAGCAGAGACCTCACCTTGCCGGCAAAGGTCCGAAGAGTCAAAACTATGGTTTTTCCAGTAGCGATGTAGCCGCCCAGAGTGGTCGACCAGACCAGATGGGCGGGATAGATAGATAGATAGATAGATAGATAGATAGATAGATAGATAGATAGATAGATAGATAGAGATAGATAGATAGACAGACAGACAGACAGACAGACAGACAGACAGACAGACAGACAGACAGACAGACAGACAGACAGACAGACAGACAAACAAATAAATGGAAGTGAGAGCTGGACCATGAAGAAGGCTGACCGCCGAAGAAAGGATGCTTTTGAATTCAGGTGCTGGAGGAGACTCTTGAGAGTCCCCTGGACTGCAAGGAGAACAAACCTATCTGTTCTGAAGGAAATCAACCCTGAATGCTCCCTGGAAGGACAGATCCTGAAGCTGAGGCTCCAGTACTTTGGCCATCTCTTGAGAAGAGACGACTGCCTGGAAAAGCCCCTGAAGTTGGGGAAAGTTGAGGACAAGAGGAGAAGGGGATGACAGAGGACGAGATGGATGGACAGTGTCCATGGGGTCACGAAGAGTCGGACATGATTTAACAACTAAACATCAAAAATTTTAATAGCAAAAGCAATACATAGTGTGATCTCTGTCGCCCTCTCATGGCCAGTTCTGGTCACTTCAACTTTTTAAATTATGTTTCTAAGATTTTTCTTTTAATATTTTCATATACAGTGGTGCCCCGCATAGCGAGTGCCCCGTTTAACGACGAATCCGCATAGCGATGCAGATTTTGCAATCGCAAAAGCTATCGCATTGCGATGTTTTTAATGGCTAAATATCGCATTGCGATGATCGGTAAGCGTTTCGCTTACTGATTTCCACATTGCAATGTTTAGAAAACAGCTGATCAGCGGTTCCAAAATGGCCGCCGGGGAAAAATGGCCGCCAGGGAAAAAATAGCCACCCGCAGCGTTTTCGCGCTCTTTCCTCGCTTACCGGGCAGGGAAAATGGCAGCCGAATGGAGGCTTTCCGCATAGTGGTAAGTTTTTTCCCCACAGGAACGCATTAAACGTTTGTTCAAAGATTGTAAAAGTTACTGTTTGGCTGGCGGTCCTGTTTGTCTGAGGATCTGAGTTTTGCAGTAAAAAAAAAAAAAAGAATGCCTATAACAGGAGCGGATGAAGTCTAAGAGTTTGGGAGTCAGAATCAAGGCCCTGTGACTGATGTAAACCACAACAGGTTCAGAAATGGCCTTAACTGGCTGGTTGTTTTTTTTTTAAGGGGGGGACTTTTTTGCAAGGAAGAGAAACTGCATTTTGTCCATCTCCAAGCTTACAAGGGGCTTCAGAAAGCACTGTATGCCTCCGCCCCTGCCACGTTAATGTCCCACGGCAGCGTGCGAGGACCTGCAAGCAACAGGGCAACCGAGCAAAGAACGGTTGAACCTCCGTACCCACCTATGGTGTCCCATACATAATTCTTGTACAGCAGGCAGAATAACATTGCAAAGCTTTGCTGTCAACTGCCCACAGTCCTCCAACTCCAATGTTACTTCTACATACTTTCTAAGCACTAGGCACTCTGTGTCTTATTCAAGAAAGGAAATAGTCAGGGCTAGGAAAAAATGCTAAAAATAATAATGGCCTGCATCCATTAGCTAGTCTCAATGGTTAAGCGGATGCTCAGTGCAAAGTCAACACACATGTAAATTGCATTGCATTTACACATATAAGATAAAAAGAAAAGCTAGTACACTTTATTCATTATTTATTATTTTTCTTTATACAGAGCCTTTTTCCTAATAAGAGGACCCACTGTAGTGGATACAGAGAGGGATTAGAACTCACGAGACCTGGATTAGAATCTTAACTCAGCCACGAAAATTCACGGGGGAGCGGCAGCAGGAAAGCACTCCGCAAACATCTTGTACGTAACATTTTCATTTTTGTTAAATTATTATTTAGCACAATATGTTTTAACTATTGTTGCAAGCAGCCTGGTATACTGGTTTGTACTAACTGCGTGGTCAATAAATCAAATAAGTAAATACTATAAGTCTGCCATACAGCAGAAGTGACTTGGCAGCCCATACTAAAAATTGCAAAGGGTCTACTCTAATTCGGTCTAATAATGGAAAGAAAGAAGACAGGAAAATTATAATAGCTCCATCTTTTTTTTTTTAATATAATGGCTTCATCTGAAACACCAGTGCCAGCTATTATTTGCATGGATGGTACAAGCAGGACACTCATATTTTGATATCAGCTGTAGATCGAAATAGCTGGCCTCAAATCGCTTTGTTTGGTAAAAAGGGGGCAAGAGTCATGGATTTGTTTTATTTTTTGAAAACCCTTTTTGAAATCCTCTGCTACCCATGATGAATAACAGTTAGGTGATGGAGTGGCCCAGCTCAGATAGAAAGAGTCTTTGGACAACACAAATCCCGCTATCTATTTAATTTTTATTTATTTGAAATATTTTACCACACTTTTCTCCGCGAAAGGACCCGAGGTGTTACAGAAGCATTTTTTTTAAAAAAAACCCAAAGGTAAAAGGATATATCCTTGCCCGAATTGCTCTCCACGATGACGTCTTCCATAGATTCAAAATACTGGCTCCACGGGACTGGGGAATAATCACGCTTCTTTCCAGGTCTGAAACAAACAAACACACAAGAACCGAGGTTTAAATGTGATATTTGTGCTTCAAATAAATGAATAAAACATCTCTGGCAGCACAGAAGCTTGCCTTCGAAGTCACGGAGGAAGGCCTGCTTAATTCTTGCCAGGAGCAGAAAAGAAAGAAGGAAAATAAGATGCTGTATTATTCACTGTTATTTATTCGTTTTTATTTGCAGGAACGTTATCATGACTACTTCTAAGACTCTTGCAAATGCTCCATTAAAACTTGCAAATCTTCCCCCCCCCAAAAAAAACACAAACCTCTGGGTCTCCTAACAATTGAGATGCCTGGTCATGGAAAAGGCCAATGGAAATATTTAATATCGCCCACTCAAATTCCTTCCCGTGGCCCGGAGCAGAGAAATGCTTTAACCTGGCAACCGCAAGATAATGCAAGGACCCCCAATGAGTCTCATTGTCCAGAGCATTCCACGAGGCAGGAGCCATTGACCGATCATCTTGGCCACCAATTTCTCAGCTCACAAAGGCCTCTCGGGGCAGAGGCAGGTTTCTCACTTTATGACAACGTCGTAATCTCAAGTTTTTCGTAAGATCAAGAACCTGAACTGTGCCCGTGAGTCGTGGTGGCTCCAAACATCAGCATATCTGTTTTCTAAGCACTTGACTCTGCTATCATGATCTTTATTCAAGCTTACCGCTAAAGGCCTGCCTGATTCTCTGGAAAGGATCATAGGCTTGGGGTTTGGTAACCCTCAGTACAAAAAAAACAACAAAACAACAAAACAAACACCCAGAGTTGAGAAAGCAGACCCCCCCCCCCAAAAAGTGGCTCTCTGTTTCCTGGTGCCCTAAAATTGCACGTTGGTTTATTTATGGCACTCTTTCTCAACTAAGTGCTTCAGACTCTAGTGACAGAAAGTACTAAGCTGTCAAACATGATCGTAAGGTCTTGGTCGTCTACCTTTGGCCTTTTATATATATATCTTCGGGTTCTCGGCTCCCAGAAACCCAGAACATCGGCTGTTTCCCCTCGGTGGGAGTCTAAAAATCTAAAACATCTGGTTTGGAGAATAAAATCTGAGAATCATGGGCTGAAAGCCATGCACTCAGGAGTCCTAAGACGATCCTTTCCCCGATTGTTTTAAAACAGTTTGCTTTGTCTAAAACAGTGGTTCCCCGACCTGGATCTCCACATGTTCTTGGACTGCATCTCCCAGAAACCCTGGCCAGCACAGCTGGTGGTGAAGGCTTCTGGGAATTTTATTCCAAAATCATCTGGGGACCCAAGGGTGGGAACCATTGCTTTAAAGACCACCTTACGCAGACATGTCCATCCTTTTCCTCGTTAGCAGCAAACATTACCCCCGTATTCGCCACACCAGGTCCAAATGGTAAGCCAGTATCACCCCTACCCTGAAGAATCATGTTTGAAGCCACGTCTGGCTAAGGCCACCTAGGGAGTCTGTGGCTAAGACAAAATTCGAACTGGCAGCTTTCCAAAGTGACACTCATTTTCTGGTTCCTGTATTACAGGGAACATGTAATTATAAATTACATGTGCATTTATATTCACCCATTCTTGGTCATTTTTCAACAGGCCGGAACAAAAACGAACATGCCTTTTGATCGTAAAAATAAATCCATTCAGCAGATTGAGAAAGGCTTATTAATCTGGCAGGCTGTGCCCGAAAGAGGCTCTCTTGCTATGCTGCTTGTTTGGGCTCGCACAAGGCATTTGAAATAATAGCAGATGATGGCAATGAAGTCCCACCATCATCCTCAGACTGAAAGCAAGGGTAGACGAAAAAGGGATGTAAACCTGCACCATCTGGTTTCACTAGCAGGTGCTACAAACATAGTGCTTTTTCCGAAGTAAGAAGGGCTGAGCAAGTCAGGGGGAAGGTTCAAAGTCACTCTTCTTACAAGCTGCACCAACACCAAGACTGAATCTGACAGACAGCTATTCATCAGCGTCGCCGAGAACACTTTGAGGCACAAAAAACTGGTTTGCCAAATTACACCACACCACATATCCCCAGCCCCTAATGTTATTCAAACACGAATCACAAAACATACCAATAATAATTTGTAGAACCACACAAGGAGGCCAGGATCCTTCATCCGGGACACAGCCTCATTCCTATAATCAGCGTCTTATGCTGTTGGGTAGGAAGCCTCGATGAGAACAGAAGGAACAGCCTGGAGCCATGCTTCCCAACCCCGGTTCCCCCCCCCCGAGGGTTCCCGGAATACAACTCCCAGATGCTTCCCCCAGCAGCTGCACTAGCCAAGATTTCTGGGAGTTGAAGTCTAAGAACATCTGGGGAGTCCTGGCTTTGCTACCTAAGATGCTAGCTAAAGATGCCAGGGACTGAACCTGGAACATCTGCATATAATCAGGCAACCTTGTTATTGTTGTTGAGTCATTCAGTCATGTCCAACTCTTCGTGACCCCATGGACCAGAACACGCCAGGCCCTTCTGTCTTCCACGGCCTCCTGGATGTTGGGTCAAAACCTTAGGCACTCCCTAAGTCACACTCAAAATCTGAGTATAGTCCTGTCTTCCACTGCCTCCCGGAAGTTGGGTCAAAACCTTAGGCACTCCCTAAATCACACTCAGAATCTGAGTATAACAGTCTGTTTTTTCAGTCACTCTGATCTGGCAGAGGTGGGCAGCTTAAAACAGGGGTAGGCAACTTGTGGCCTTCCAGATGTGACTGGAATGCAACACCCATTGGTCCTGGCCAGCAAGTCCAGTCGGGGAAACATCTAGAAGCCTATCAGTTGCATACTTTTTTAACAACCAAAAAAAGTCAATATATCTGTCTCTGTGCAAGACTCAATTGGTATATCCTTCCCAATGGTCTTGAGAAATTCATTTTTTGGAAACGGCCTCCCCCAGGCCAAAGCATAAAATAAAATCTCTCACCTGCACAACAGAGAGCAATATATATATATACCACCTCATTACAACATGCAGTGTCTTGCCAAATTTATCTCAGGAACTGCTAGAACAAAATCCTAGGGTCCTGCACAGTAGTGTCACCAGAAATTTGGAGCCCCCAGTTGGTCGGGACTTCGTGAACTCCAAAACACTGCACTTTCTATAAGGACCATCAGTTAATTTCCCTCCCCAAGTATTTCTCTGCTGGTTAAACCTCAGCCAAGACTCTGCTCACAATCCGAGTTCAATCCCTACGAGTTGAGGCAGTCAGCTTCCATCCTTCCAAGGTCAGTAAAATAAGGGCCCAGCTGGCCAGTGACGGTGGGGGCAATATATATTGTGCATAATAAAATTGTATTTTTGCCCAATGAATGTTTTAAGCACTATGGGGCAGTATATATGCTTTTTTAAAAAAATTATAGGCATGCCCCAGCTGTTTCTTTTTGGATCTTCCTTTTCTGTAGCTGGGAAGATGGGAGTGGTCAGTCAGGTATTCCTCTTTTTTTTGGGGGGGCTGATTATTTTATTTGCATTTTTACATCTTGCTTTCTGCTGCAACATGGGTATGCTCTGTTATTTGAGACCATTCATTTTACTCCACCCCTACGGCACGGTGGCAAGGAGTTTCATGTTCCTTTTTGGAGAGAAAGAGACTTTTAGAATTGAGATATTCAAGAGGCGGCAGGCACGGTGGGATGACGACCGCCC